AGAGCCGAGAGGCTCTTCCAACATGTTAACACCTAAATGGAGCTTTAGTCATTTGTTAACCAGTAGCCTGTTTGACTTTTACCTTGCACCCTGTTGACCACCTCACATGAAACCCAATAAACCTTCCGAGACAAAGCCTGGCCAAGAACCATTAGTGAAAACCAAAGGCTCTCCTTCACATCCAGTCCCAGAGAGCTCTCACCCAAGAGGTTTCCATTTGGTTTGCGTCACTTTTCCACGCGTCGAAGGATGGAACGCAGCGGTTTTGTTCGACCAATCCCCTTCGTCATGTCTCGTGCCTCGGTCAGTCCCAAAAATTCCCTTTTAATCCTGTTTGTCAGTGGGCTCACGTGTACCCGGCCACGTGGGTACTCGCAACCAAGCGACATATTTTTGTTTTGCGGCCGCGTTTTAGTTATCATTCCCACAGAATACTAACTAAAGGCCATGACTTAATTCCCATGAATTAGTAACATATGTCCATGCGATGATATTTTCGTTCCCACTGCTGTCACCAGTCGGGGGGGGAGGTACGTAAGAGATTAATTAGAGGATTTATGTCATGGAAAGTTCATATTTTTTGTTTTATTTACGTGCAACAAAAGTATGTGGCAGCTTCTGAAGCTTCTCTGTTAAAGCTGGGGGTCCAAAACTGTCATGGTCATTTACTATTTATGGTCGGGTCAAGATTTTGTCTGCCTCAACTCACATACTGAGATAACCGCACTGGGGTATGAATTTGACTGAATACATACCGATTAATAGAAGAAGATCTCCTTCAAAAACAAGTGCCTAATAAAGGAGATATTGTTCGATTTAAGAGAAAAGATAGTGGGGTCCATCAGGTCACGCTGCAGTTTTATCTATTTACCAGCTCCTGGTCCACTCAGTCAAAACCCTGAACGACTAATAAACATGCTCTGAATCGAATCAAAGTGTGATCAGTGTAGATACATAACTGAAAAGTTGCAATGTATGTCATCATAATCAAATTCTTTACAGATACTAATTTAGGGGAATTAATGAGATGACAGTTATCTAGCAGGGATGAAGGTTGGATTGTTTTTGGGAACCGTGTATCATACGTACAGTTTATTATGATGAAGTTGTAAGATTTAAACACGTGTTGCTGGACACTTTTACAATGCATACAAACCCGGAGCTCACCTTGTGCTGACAACAAAGCTCTCCAGTCCTGCGGGTCATGTGATCAGAGGTCAACACTGTGCTCTTCTGAAATAAATGGCATAAGCTTTGGGCAGGTTCAGTTTCTTGCATGATTCATCTTATGTCACTAGTCATTACTAGGCCTATATCTAAAAAAAAAAAAATTGAAGTACACTATAGAAGCTGAAATTTTTAATCTATTTTTTTGTTGTCATTTCTCCACTGTTGTGCCCCTTATGAGTTTACATTTTATAACGATTGGCATGTTTACTAAGTCCCATTTATAGATTTTTCTTCTTCAGGGCCAGGATCCGTGGCGTGGACCCAGGATGTCTTCACTTAAAATCAAAACTACCCCCACAGTGTCAGACCTCTCCACGGTGGCCGCTGCAGCTCCCACAGCAAACACAGATTCTTTGTTTCACACAGTTTGTGAGGAAATGTTTGCGTTTCTTGCTTGATTCCACAGCTATGCAGTCTCCCAGCATGCCTCCTCCCACCTCGGCTGCACAGTGTTGCATATCAACACTAAAGAACAGCCGTTAAGCCAACCGTTTGGTACCAGAAACAAAGGCTTCGTACAAAATTAAAAAATAAAATATAGACGCTACAGCTGCAGAATTATAGATATATCTATATATATGTATATATACATACAACTACAGATGATAGAGCTATGTTAGAATGGTTTTTTTGTTTTTTTAAACCAACAGAGGCCTGCTAGCTGTCTCCAGTAGTCAAACAATTCCCTCTCCTTCATTCTAAAGGCCAAATGGGACAACAGGATTATTGTCTACCGCAAAAAAACAAACCCTATAAACTATAAATTTACACCACTTCCGAGAAATACCAAATTTGTATTTGCAACAGATTCCAAAAAGCAGTTTATTATGATCAAATTTTAAGATTGAAATGAAATTTGCTCTGAATCTGAAAGGGGCTTTAACAGGTAGCCTTTAGCATAAACCAAAGCAGACCTTTTTTCTTGTACTATCTAGGACACAACCAAGGCTTTCTTTTCCCCAAGAGAAGCTAAACAATAAGTTATGAAATATCTGGCAACAGGGACGGCCGTGCAAGAGTCCCGAAATGCGAGCGTGCAACCGAGCCTCCCGAGTAAAACGATCTGATCAGGAAATAGCCATCCAGGCATGGGTCACCTCACCTTGACCAGCCTCTCCAAAGAGCTGCGCCGGACTAGTTACGCAACTGACATATTTAACCCGCCCTATTTATGACACGGAGACAACAAATCAACACACACATGACACGACCACAGACGGGATGAGCCCAGAGGTTCAGTCTGCGGGGTTAGAAGGAGGAAATATCTTCAGGATTCAATAATATAGACCACTCTCACGTAATCTGCTTTGGTTCGTCACCATTTGACCGGTTTTCTGATTATTTCGAGCTGCGTCTACCAAAAAAGAATGCAACTTGAACCATTTAGGGAAACAGTGACTTGAGTTAACTGTTGCCCTTCACGCTAGGTTAGCCGTAGGATCATTCTGGTTTAAAACAGTATAAAACAATATATTGAAACTACTAACTTGCTGAAATGGTTTGTTTATTGGCATTCATGGTGATAGAAATTGGCCAAATATAGTGGTCCTGTTCAAAGCCACTCTCAAAGCTATTAGCAAAGAGGAGGCGGCTATGTTTAGTGTTTTTATGCTAGTTAACTGCACTCCAAACAACAATATAGGAGATAAAACGTTTTTTCCGGAAAGTTTTGCTTTTACTTTAATCTTAATAAATGAATTATCACATAATTACATTTTAAACAATTGACTTCCTCTTCTCATAATTTTTTCTATTAGCGAGATACTAAAGAAAAGGTCACTGCCATTTTTGTAGTTTTTTCACTATATGACTCTGGTAGAAATATTGCTTGTATTTTTTTTTTAGATCAAGGAAAATGTTCTTTTCACAATGCTTAACAATGATGATTTTTCAGCCCACCAACGCACATCATTTATGGACGTCCTGGATGCTAGATTTTGTATTTAGAGCAAATCTGTCCTCACAGAAAAACTGGTTTACTGTCCATTTATTGAACTTGTTTTTCTCAGTTGACAAATAAAAGACACACACATCCACTGAACTGGCACAGAATGCAGAATGTGTGGGGGTATGAACCAATTCAACATTTCACAGAGCTTCTGAGACACTCCATCAGAATAAAACAATAATCAAAAGTAAATTAAGAATGTCCTCAACAACACAATAGAACGAAGACCAATATTACGTTCATTACAGGAGCCAAACTTCTAGTATCTAAATGGAACCCTCTACAATAGTTACTTAGTCTTCAGAAAACCTGAACAAATCTCTTTTTTTGGATGCCAGGTTGATCATTTCCAATCCAGTCCTTGTACCTGATCGTCCATTTAAGAGGAATGCGTTTTATTTGTATCGGGCCACTGAACGCTGATGAATGACCCATTCAAACCCGGTCGAGCATGAAGAAGGCACCTGTGTGCGTCTACACACAACGCAAAACGAAGAAGCACACTCAGATTCTAGAACCACGCAACAGGTACGCGTGTGTGTACGTCTTCAGTTGCTAGGTAATGTTCCCTCCAGACGCGTGACCATAGCTTTGATATGATGCTTTTCTGGCAATAAATTAAGAAAAGGATAGCTTCTGAAATCATAGAGAGGGTTATTGTTGCTGAATATGGCACTCCTCGTGATGTATATTAGACTTTAGGTGTGGCTGGGTAACCATTTAAGGCTTGACCGCACAGTTTATGTTTGAAAAAGAGCAAACACTGACTTACCCTACCGGCCTGTTACCACAGAAACCTAAGCCCTTCTACTGAATGTGTGACAAAGGGACCCATCCACAATTGCACAAATATTGCTTGTATATTTTATTTTATGTACAGTACATGTAAAAAAAAAAAAAAAAAAAAACAACACAAAAATAGTAGCCAATAACATTGACTGACGAGGGCAACAGTAGACAACCACGTTGCTCGTAGTTAGGGGGGGTAAAACAAAAAGAAAAAAATCTGGCGACCGTTTTCCCCTCTGAGGCGTACACTGAGACTCACACTGCTTTGTCCGATGTGTGAGGCGCTTAACAGTCGGCCCCACCAGTGTCCAGAACGGGGCGAGAGCTTCACCTGCACACTTCTTTTTTTTCCCCCCATGACTTAAAAAAAAAAAACTAAGACAAACAACTCCTTTTGTCAGTGACAGTGAGACTTTGTTTTCCTCATTTCCAACTTGGGATAAAAAATTAAATAAAACAAAAAGAAAGCGGATGTGCTGGTTGGCAAGCGTGGCTGTGTGCGATCTTAGGTTGAGTTTCTGAAGCAATCACCCCACCCCCCACCCCCCCCGCCTCCCTTTAATCCAACAGTACTGCTTTCAACACAAAAGTCACTAAAGGTCAGTGTTGCTTGTCCGCTTTTGCCTGATGACTCAATGCAACTGAATGCTCCGACTGGGGAGCCAGCCAGCTTTTCTTCAGCACAATCAGCAGCTGAATTCACAGTATTCTTACAGCATTGCATCCACCCCCCCTCCCACACCCACCCCTCCCACCCAAAGTAAGTCATAAAGCTTTAACAGATAATGCATAAGGGGCGAGGATGCGTTTCTTCACCCACGCTTCTCCAGTGGAAACGTCAAACCAACGTTTTTGCGTAGTGTGACCGTCCTACTTGAGTTGAGAGAACAAAAAAAAAAAACAACACAAAAAAAAACAAACCCGAGACCAGATGCAAAAATACAGAGTACACAACTGTGTCTGGTGTTCCCATGATTGATGCTTTAAGGGAAAAAAATAAAATATAAAAAATAAAAAGAAATAAGGAGGATGTGGGGGGGTTCTTTTGTATTTCCAAAGCCATGGATGGTCAATCACATGGACTTCTGAACTCTTTCGCTGCCTCGCAGGACTGTATCGAGCAATAGTGTTTTTGTTTTTTTTCGGACAGTGAGCTCACAGCAGGCCACCAAGGTACAGATAAAGTGCTTTTTCTTAAATGTGTCGCTTTAAATAATTAAACGTAAAAATGTTTCTCGGGATAGGTGGAAACGTTTTCAAGGGGAGAGAGGGAAGAGGAGGAGGAGAGGGCCGACTCCTGGGGGGGGTGCAAAATGAAATGGAGGACAAGACACAGGAGGGGCGGGGAAGGGGGGGGGGGGAGAGACTTCCACGTAAATACATCCACAAATCCGACTAAATGTCGCACGAGGCTACGGGGATGGAACACTGCGGTCACTAGGCGGGCGGGAGCGGACGCTACTGTCTCTGGATGGAGCCGTTCACATTATCGGAAGTTCGGGGGTTAAGACTTTCATCGGTTGCAAAAAAAAAAGGGGTCTCGTTTCCCGAGGAAAGGGGGGGAGGGGGGGGACGAGGAGATGCCACCGGCTCCCGTCCCGGAAGAGTCGGCCCGTCTGGGAGGACCGTGATCATGACAGCAGCACATCAGGAGGTTTCTGAGACTGTAGCAGAAAGGTCAACTTACTGGATCTTAACAAACCATTACAGAGAATAAATACATTCGGGTCCTTGTAGTGTTGTTATTCGGCTCTATTGAAATATGATTAAATCGAGAAAGAAAAAAAAAAAAAACAACAAAAAAAACTAAACAAAAACCCAAAAAATAAAAGTCTAGTTCATAGCTGACCATGAGATGCCTGGTGGGATGCTTTTTTTTTTTTTTTTTTTTTTTTAGTCTCAACAAACCTCCCTCTCGGCGGCCATTTTTTTCCACCAGCCTTGTGGAAAAAAAGGAAAAAAAAAAGAAAGAAAAAAAAAAGAGAGAGAACAGGACAAAAACAAAACAAAACAAAAAACAAGACGGCATATAAATAGTAGCCGTGGTAACCGCACATACTCCCCCCTGGGCCTTGATGACAGAGTCTGAGAATTCAGAAAAAACCTCCAAGTCCTTCAGTCCTCAGCTTCTATAGAAGAGTGAAAGAAGAAGAGAAAGAAAACAAAAAAAGAAGGGGAGAAGACGGCACAAAGTAAAGACGATGAGCAAACAAGGCAGGTCACGTGTCCGGCGTGGGGAATCTCAGGCCGAGCCTGGCTGCCACTTTCCCCCCCGGTTGAGATTTCGGTTTAGCCGACTGGGCGGGAAAAAGAAACCCTTCCTCTATGGAGGGAGGAAAAAGCACCAAATACAGACTAATCTCAACCCCTCGACATTTCTCCTCTGCCACAACCGACTTCCTGCTGGCTGCTAAACCAATCACGGGCTACACAGGAGGGGTCGGACACTTCCTGTCTGCCTCTTCCATGTGTGGCGATATTCTCATTCTACCAGAGTTTGACACGGACATAATCGAACGTCGTCCTTTAGATTAAGCGGTCGGACCGGGTCACAGGACCTGAAACACACACCGCTGTAAATGGAGTGCTGAACACAAAGGGAATCTAATTAGCGGAGGCCGTGAACAGAAATACCGGACATGGCTGGCTCCCTCGATGAGCGATGGTGCTATTCGACTAGTCCCTACTTTCCCTGCATCTCACACGTATAGGGAAACAGAAAACTGGTATGGGGGAAGGATTGGTCCTTCTTGCCTTGTTGCAGGCACACGCAGAGGAACGGGGAGGGGGAACCCACCCAGTGGTAGCTCTAGAGAGAAAACTGAGTGCAAAAGCTTTTGATTAAGGCTAATGATATAGTACGATATCCAATCTTGTTCGAAAGAAATGCAAATAATGCCGAGAAGTGTCATTAGTACTCGATTGTTAGACGTTTCCTCTTATGTATGGCTGTATGTGATGTCGCTGTCTGTGACAGGGGGGAAGATGGAAAGTTTTCTGTTTGGCCTGTTGAATTTTTTACTTTTGAAGCGACTGACGGTGTGAGTAAAGTAGCGGTGAAAGGCAGCAGGAGAGTGCTACTCTGACTAATGCTCCAGGCTGGGGCCTACGTGTTGGTCCGAGTGACCGAACCGCCATCTGTAGCCTGAGCCAGGCTTTACTCATTTATTACCCACGGTTTCTTTAGTTTTTTTTGCTGACTCAGACTGGTATCTCATGGTTAATCATAAAACCAGTCGGTGCACCGAACCCTAAACCGAGCGGGGAGGGTGAAGCCGACTCCAGAATGACTCGGCCTGAGGTGTAACTCCCCGGTGTCCTCACGGGATCACTGAGATGCTAATATGTAGACGCTAGTGCTGGCCAGAAGACTGACCTACGTGTCGCAGTGGGACAGCAGCGAGGCGATCTCTGGACCCATGTGACCCACGGCCTTGGCTGCCTCCAGGATGGCCCTCCGGTACATTCCTTTCTTCTTGCGGTTGAAACGGGACCTGAAGAGCTCTCGGAAGGGCGAGAGCTTGGCGACGGACAGCTGGGAGGTGGTGGGCGAGCCGAACCAGGCCACCTTGGCCTGCGGCCACTGGGCCTCGCAGCTGGCCGTCTCGGGCTTGCGGGTGCCGCTGATGCTGAGCACGCGCGCCGGCCACCAGGGGAAGCCGTGGATCTTGCCCCACACCACGTCGCCCACCGCCACGGCGTGGCCCTCCTCCGTCACGCACTTGGTCATGCTGCGCGTGTGCAGGCGCACGGTCAGCGGCGGCACCGTCTTGAGGTCCTCGCGCGGCACGGCCGAGGACGAGGAGGTCACCGACAGGTCCTCGCCCGGCGCCAGGTCGCACAGCTCCGGCGAGGTGCCGTCCGAGCTGAAGGACTTGGCCTCGTCCAGGCTGTCGCTGCTGCAGACCGACAGGCTGGACGAGTCGGCCTTGCGCTTGCGGAAGTTGATCAGGAGCGTGAGGTCGCTGTGGCTGCGCTCGGCCTCCTCCCCGGAGCTGCCCGACCACAGCTCCAGGGAGTTCTTCCCCTCGCCCGAGTCCTCCGAGTGGGGGAGGCAGGGCCCGGGCCCCCGGGGGCTTCGCCTCCTGGCGTCCCCGACCAGCTCCGCCTCGTACTCCACCAGCGTCTCCTCGCCGTCCCTCTGAGGGGGTCTCAGGCGGATTTTGGTCGGCGGAGAGTCTCCGCCCACGTTCGCGAACGGCCGGGTCAGCTTGAGTTTGGGGATGGACACGGTGAGGCCCGACCTCGTGGCGTCCAGGATGTGCCGCTGCTCCTTGGTGGTGATGGCGGGGGCCTTGCCGTTCTCGCCCAGGCCGTTCTGCGCCAGCTGCTTGGGGCAGAACGGCTTTACCGAGCCGTGAACGCGGGAGGGGATCTTCATGACCTCCCCCTTTCCCTGCGGAGTGCTGTAGGAGATCTTTATGACGGGGCTGTGGGGGATGACGTTGCCTGCGGGGAACTTTTCCCCCTCGGCCTCGCCCCTTTTGTCCTTTCGGAGGCGCTTGCTGTCAAAGCTGGCGCCGTTTTCTCGCCTTTTGGCGTCCTTGCCAGCGACGACGTCCTCTTTTCTCAGCAGCTTGGTGTCTTTATAGTCGCTCTCGTCGTCGCTTTGTGGGGCGTTCTCTTTTCTGGAGGCCTTGCTGTTGCTCATGCCGTCTTTGCTGTCCTCGTCGCTATTTAACGTGTTCTTGCACTTTTCGCAAAGTACCTGCCGGGGCCGGAGACGGATGGTGCTCATGGTCATGCGGCCGGGCTCTCGCGTCCGCCGCTTCTTTCTTTTGATTGGTCGCGGAGGGGGCTGAGGTACCCATTGGCTGTAGGTGTGGCGCACCCATAAAGGCTGAGGGAAGGGGGCTCCTTCAAAATAAGGAGGATAAGAAGTCTGTCCGGCGGGAACCGGTGCGGGGACGGGGCAGGACGCAGGTGCAGGGGGTACGCTGTTTTCGGGAAGCGTGTTTTCGTCCTTTGGTCTGTCCGGAGCCTGGCCGGGGGACTTGGGAACGGGCTCCTCACTCAGAATTTCCGGGATTTCACATGCCGGTTTAGATATGGGACAGCTTCCGAGTTTCGCTGTGAAATCTGGCAGGCCGAACAGCCCAGACCTAAGAAGAGGAAGAAGGAAAAAAAGAAAGATAAAAGACAAGATTAATTACTTATCTCTTGTGGATATTTTTACTTCCCAGTACTCTATTCAAACTCATGTAGTGTGGGTCTGCTTGCCAAAGCGATTCCCCGGAGAGCACCACATTGTGATGCTGCGCTTGTATTTCACCTCGATAAGCCGACCCAACGTCAGTGACACTGTTAAAAATGCCTTCATTGTTTGGCCAAAAGTGGATTCCAAAGCTGCCTGGTGGTCAGTCCACACCCAGCTCAGGCGGTATAAGAAAAAAAAAAAATCTAGTTCGCCAATTTGTTTCTATGACAAAAAACGACAGGCGCCACTCTCCCTGTCACCTGTGTGCTGAAAGTTTTTGTGGCGTGTGGGGGATGGGATCGGCTGTGCAATCCATGCAGTTATCCCCTCGTTCTGCCTCTGGCTGCAAAAGTACAGCTATGGTATCGCCGACTCTCCCTGGGTGATTTTATGCACCCTTTCCAAACTCTGAGATCAACAAACATTTCTAACGAAGGCTCAAATGCCAAGAGGTCTTCGAGAGGTGGTTGGCAGGCAAAAGTAACATGGCTGTGCAGCTTTAGTCAGGAGGCAGCAGACAAAGAGTCTACAGGATGCCCAGGAGCCCCCCCCCCCCCCACCACCCCTCAAACATCTGACTGAACAAAAACAATCCCATGAATCACTCGGGATTCACAGATGTAGCCAGGAGATTTCAGTTTGTTTTTACACCCATGCCTGCTCGAGGCTCACGTGTGGTGATATTATTAATTAGTGCACATTCGGGGAGCCCATTTTCCCTCCCCAAGAGAAGTAGCTGGCAAGGATCACTGAATCAAAAAAAAAGAAAAAAAAGAAGGCTGTTGGTGAGGGTTGTTCCTCTCACCTTCGAACATGCACCCTTAAAAGGTGCCAAATATTAGCATTCACTGTGACGGACGTGGCACCGATAGCTCAGCCTGTGACAGGGAACACACAGTGCCAGTTAAGCAAAGTACAAGGGCGCACAACGCGATCAGCCATGATTCACCTCACTCCTTTCATTTTGTGTACAGTGTAACTAGATGGTGGAGACACGCTTATGAAAGGGACCCGCGATATGACCTTATCATTAAAAAAAATTTGAATTCTAAAGAAATGAGTGGAAAACAATGACAGGAAATGAATTTCCCTTCGCTGACAAGGGAGAAGACAAATTCTGCTTCTGTCAAGGCCTTAAATATAACCCTATTTTAAGTTATTTCAAGGCCTGTCTTTTCCCTTTTGGGTGGGTTATTCTCAGGGCAGCCTGAACTCTTGCATAAAGAAGGGGGCAAAGCTGGTCAGATTTTGATTCTACTTGTCTATTAATAGTCTAAAGCCAGTTGGTGTTAAGATCCACACCGCGGGGAACAAAACCAGGCATTTACATGTGACATATAATAATGGGGCAGATAGGTAAAGACACTGATACATGTCAGATACTTGGATGGTTCTCTGACTTGAAAAGGGTTATGGTTATTGTCAAAGAAAGGGGGCTTTTAAATAAGACAAAGCCCACAGTTATAGCAATTTATGAAAGCTTTATTCCAGCAAGATTATCAAAACTGGGATTGATCATATCCCAGTATTGTAATTTTCCATTGTTTGTACAGATTTGAACTGATAAGCTCAAACAGGGCCACATCTCAAATCAGAACCATCAGTACAGAATTTTAAAAACACCATTTCAGAAAGACCACAACACATTCACTTGCATGTGATACATGCAAATACATTCCATACACTTACACTGTTAAGTCAAGGTGTACTTCTATTGAATACGTTTCAGCTGCTCTTTATTAGATTAGGCTAACAATAAGCTAGAGATAAACCCATTAACAGTAGCTGTTGTACAACAAAAGTCTTCAACATTCTCTGGAAACTGTGTTACCATCATGGCATGGTTATCCCCCAAAGTAATAGAACACATTTCATTGTGTCGTTATGGTGTAAAACGTTATTTGTATTTTTTTTCATTAGCCAGCCGGCTAGCCGACAGCTACCTTGTCAGCCACAATAACCTATGTCTTTTTTTAAGAAGGCCTAGTGTGCTAGCAGAGAGCTAACGAGCTAACTTTGACTTAGCACCAAAGGTATATTAGCCGTTAGCACCGTTTGGTGAATTAATTTCACACAGGGATATAAAGAAATTGACAGAAATGATACTCACTTTTTGTTGGAATCGAGCAATATCCCCGTATAGTTCCTTTCTCGATAGGTAAGCGTCACCACCAGTGTATCGTTAAGTATATGATCGATAGTGACAGGTATCCGAGAGCCGGCCCGCAGCTCCTCGGCCACAGCCTCCATGTTTCCCGGGAAGAATTGTCCGGCTCCGCGGTACTCTATCCCGGCCAAGGGAGCCACGGTCGCGTCGGCCCAAGATCCGTCTCCCTTCGCTAATGGAGCAGGAGGCTACACCAGGGCATAAAATGACGCCATCACCCCCACCAAGTCAATTACAACAGTACTGCCACCGCTGACATCACGCTCTCTGTGCTAAAGGAGCAAAAAATCTTCCAAGAAAAGGCCTACCCTTTCTCTGTCTCACACTGCGACGTTTGATGGCATTCATTACCGCGGAGTTTATCTCTGGAATGCCTCAGCTTTTTCTCGCGTCTATAACACTTGAAGGCGTTTGTGCTCGAAACACAGAGTTTGGTTGTATTGTAGCATTTGGAGTCAGATTAAACACGAAAACGTTTTTTTTAAACTAAGTTTTTGAATAGGTTAAGGTAATGAAACCGAAGGATTAAAAAAAAATCAGTCGTTTTTAAACGTCTGTTGTTGAATTGACTGCGTTTATTCCTGTTTTCACATAATAACCGAACCCAGTGAGGAAAACAAGTCTTTGAACTGTTAAATTTGCCTACACTGGATATATATGCAGAAGACAGTCAAATGGAAATGAAAAAACAAAACAACTGAAGCTGGACTCCAGTTGGGATGTTTCATTTTAATTAAAAATATATTCACCTTCTTCCAAAGGTCATTATAGGCTGTTTTTTGTTTCTTTTATTTTTTATCAAAGCAAGCTTCCTTGTATGTCATTTAAAAGCAATATCTCTGAACAACAGGCTAATTTCCACACCGCATCTGCAGTGCCACAGTTTATTTTGCAGGAGTAAGGGAAGTTATGTAAAAGAGAAATGTATCTTGCTTAAGTCAGAAAAAAAACAGAAGGAAAAAACACTCCATTGTCCACAGGAGACATTTCTTTTTTAAATATGAGGATATTGGGTGCCACATGAAAAAGGGATGACTCTTTTCACACCATATTTACTTATTCACAGTCACAAAACATCAGATGAGTGATCCGTGTCATTTGGAAAGCAAACTCTGTCAGGTGTTTGCTGTGAAGGGAGAGAAACTGCCTCCCCCCTGTCTCCATAGATTCCTTTTCCTCTCCAGAAGTCTTTCTTGTAACTTCCTCATCTGTCACCAGAGAAAGAGAAGCAAATGTCAGTAATGGGACTTGGGTACTGTCGGGTTATGTGGAGTGCCTTCGGAATCGCGGGCCTTACCTCTCTCAGATCTTCCTCTGCCGCCGCCATCTGCTGGGTCATCGAGCCAATGGGATTCCTTCGCCTCTCCTGCATCCTCTCCACACGGGCACGGATCAGTCGCTCAAGCTCCCGGGCAGATCTTGAAAGCCAAATGGGTCAAAAGTCAACATTTTTAATCAAAAGACTGTGGCCTATGGCATCTTAGGCCTCATAGATGGTCATATTGGAAAGGCAGGGGCTCCTTGGTTGCGACTGATTCAGTCATTTGGAACAGAAGGGCCCATTTTGGGCTATCTGATCACGTTCAGCTGTTTTTTTCCCCCAAAGCCATAAAGACAGAACAAAAGATACTGCTAATCTTCTCTGATGCGTGCATGACCTTTCTTTGCCCACTAGGTGTCTCTAGTGTCACACCTTAATCCGCATGGCTCACACTGGTAAACCCAGAGCCCCATCTGGATGAGGTTTTCATGCCTAAAAATATGTTCCTGTACAGTTTTAATGACAGACTGCTGATATTCCCCTCGCAAAAATGCTGATTAGAAAGAAACGAATCCATAGAAACTGGGGCAAACAAAGCTTTCTGGCCCGGTCCTGTGATTTTGCTCACTCAGACGGCCCTGCTCACCTGTGCTCTTCCGCCTCCTTGGTGGCTGTGCCGCACCCCTGCCTCTGTGAGGCTCCGCTCCCCGTCCCCGGAGCGGGTTTTGGATCGGCTCCCTGTGGCGGAGCGCCGTGCTGTTTGTGCTGTGAACAACAGTGTTGCCCCCTTTGATTGCCGAGCTTGTGCGGCGCGTGTACATAAAAGGATGACACAGCTGTTGCGTTATACAGAGCTACAGCCGGCAGCGACGGTCGCAAAGCCGCAGCATAACCGCCTCATTGTGCTAAATCACCCAAACACTTTTCCGCCTTTTAAAATCACTGGCTGCTCCTCAACTTATGCAGCTGATGGCCAAATTACTCCAAAGCAGCCATTTCTTGCTTGGTGACTGCCTGAATATTCACTCACTGTTCTCAAACATATACACACATATATGTATATATATGTAGTTTTACCTTATCACCTTATATTTATTTCCCTCCTTACCATCAGCAGGCTGTGGACGGCGCTCTACTGCCCTCTGGCGGTTGGCCGGTTGACAGGTAAAAACATGAGCCACAGCACCCCACACCTACCTCTCCCTTTCTTTGTCTGTCTTGTCGCTTCTGTTTGTGCTCGGACGCCTTCCTCTCCTGCGTCGCCTTTGCCTGTGTGCGCCACTTCTGAAGAGCCTCCTGGCTTCGAACGGGGGGGAGCAGAGTTGGAGAACGAAGCAGTTTGTTATTGTTTATGAACGCAAAAAAAAGAAAGAAAAGAAGATAGTGGATATTACTGTCACTGATCGCTGAGGAAACCTTCAGGCCTCCTTGTTGCAAACTTCACAGGAATGTCAGGAACAAAGAATCAACCGACCGGCTAAAATAGACTTACGTTTTCTTCTGCTCCAATGAAGCCTGCTTCTTCTCCTGTGGCCTCTTCTGTGGCTGAGGGTCATACAGGGGAAGCTCAGGGATCATGCTGGACCGTACAATTTTCCTGGGCAAAGAGAAAAAAAAACCCTCAAAAGTTTAGACTCTCATTGCTCTCCAGTGTTCTGGGCCCCAGTGGACACGGCTCGGGTTATTTCTTGTAATCATTCGGCCGGTTCTGTGCAGAGCGTTATTAAAAAAGGGTTTAGCTCTAGTTTTCCCAAGATATCCTGGCCCCTCCTCACCTAGGAACTGAAGTTATCTCCAGCCAGAGAAAATAACAGGAGGGTAATAAGAATTTATTCCCAAATGGTTAAACTTCATAAAAAGGAGAAAAATTAAACTGGATAACTCATACGCGTCTACAACAAATATGGGTTTAGGTATCTTAAAGGTAAAAAAATATGATTTTAATTTAGGCTGTGTGAGGCTTCTAAACCCTGCCATTACATGTTTAACAAACAAACTAGAATAAACCAGGATCTATCATACATACTTCAGGTTTTGATTTTTCAAACAAAGAATGACATGAAAAGCTCTAAGAAGGCATTTCAAGGTATATTTAAAAAAAATGTTCCCCCCAAAAAACGAGTGAAAGTAATTTGGAATCTTGCTCTGTGATAAATCCTGAAGCACCAATTCTAATAACTCTTTTTCAAACTCAAAACCTCAGCCTGTTTTTAACCGATGAGCAGGTGATTCTGTCCCTGGGCCTTTTTCTAGACGATGATAATAGATAATGTCTGGTTGTGTTGCTCTACAATCTGTGCTTGTAGAGCAATGGCTGCACTAACGCTGTGGTGTCAAAGGTGCTAACGGCTCTGCGAAGGGAAATGATGCAGCGGCACACCATCACAGGGCATTTTTTGGACGTGCAGCTTTGATCAAAACTCCCTTTAAAAAAGCCTGATTGGTCTGACCGCTGCACCGTGTTGTGGCTCCATCCCAGACAGCCTCCGGGAGCCAAAGAAGTCGATACCGACTGGAGGTTAACATGTTAAAGCCTTAAAGGGGATTTTCTGAACGCTTCCCTGTATTACAGAGCTGCCATGCGACTGCTCGTGTGGTGAATCAATTATTAGAGTGATAGCTGTTGAACCCCCCGTGAGGCTTTAAAAAATTTTGTTGAGTGAATTCGGGCTTTGGTTCGGTATAATTGTTTGTAAAAAATATCGACGTTTGCCTGAAATATTTTAAGACAAACTCCAGATTTTACTAGAACTATGTTGAATATTAGTGGTATTTGTCTATGCTATAGGTTGGCCTTAAAGTCATATAGGAGTTCTAATAGAATGTAATTAACATAAAGAATGACAAACTTTCTTTTTTCAATCAACATTTTCTAAATCATGTGCATTTTTCTCTCTCAATTCAAGGTTGTACGATAAGGATTTTGCCCCGCTCTTTTCTATATCTGAGTAGTTTGAGGGTTTTCAGTCATCTATCTGATCTTTAGTTCTCTCCACAGGTTTGTTCTGGTTTCAGATCATATTTTCATCCTCATTTGAAGGTTTTATTGTTCGAATGTTTGATTAGATTCCATTCATCCTTTGTTGCTAATGACAATGGTTCCCGTCCCTTCAGCCGGATGGCAGAAACGTTTCTAATGTCCAGTGACTCTATGTTTGTCTCAGCCTTTGTCTCAGGTGAGCTCATATGAAGGTTGTGATAGCTTTTGACCTCTGCGGTCACCAGCTGTGGAGGTGCTGTCTGCTCACATGCCTGGCTTTACACTCCACGGGATGATCTTAATGTCAGTCTCTGCATCTCCAGAAAATCCTCAAATACTTGGGCAACGGTCAAGTGGTGGGAAATAAATAAATCGGAAAAAAAAGAGAAGGCAAAAAAACAACAACAAAGAAGTGTGGAAAACACTGAATAAAAGTGGACCTGATATTTCCAACTTTATCTTTAAAAATAGGAATTTTTATCATTTGCAAATATAGTAATTGAAGCATTCCGCATATTGGAAGTATTACAAATTAAGCCTTTGTACATAACAGCAAGATGACGTGAATGACTCACATTTTCTTTGCGCAAGGATGGAAAGGGGGCTATTTTCAATCTTATTGGACTAGATTTGAGGCGACCACATTACAACAGCAGGAAGTTATCGATCCTGGCATGAAGGAAGTTGAGGTTTAAATGACCAAGACGAAACTCATTTTAAAAACCGGTGTGTGAGCTTCAGAGGAAGCTGAGAACACATCTTTTCCCTGTTAATATGCTGAGCTATCTGCAGCTCCAAACCAGGGTTTTCCAACTGACGTCCTCGAGGACTCTGTGCTCTGTGCCATAGTCACCCGTATTACAAATGTCTTTCTTTTTCCAACATTCAAACACCGTTTGCTTACCGTTTGGGGACGGACGGAAGGCGCACTTTCTGCTTTGTGTCACAGTGTGCCACCAAGCCCAGCTCAGCCCTGTCCAGCAGCACGAACTTGTCTTTGAGCTCCCTGAACTTCTGCATCTCATCCTCTTCCGCCAGCTCGTCCTGCATGTCCTCGCTGGACCCCGTTACCTCTGACAGCTGGAGCTTCTCCACCACTGGCAATAAAACCACCATGGAAACAAGGACACTTCACTTTGGAGACCATAAAAATGATGGTGCTACCCAAAATTAATGACTTCTTCTCAATGATCCCCATAAAAACCACCAGTTACTGGGTTTAAATCACTAAATTCATGTATTTCCGAGTTTTTGTGGAAAGGCAAACCTCCACGTATCAGTTTGAGAAACTCTCCAAAAGACCAGACACAGTGGTGGATTTGATTCATCTAACTTTCATCACCGCTTTCTAGCCAATAGGCTTATTTATATACTAAAATGTCAAAAAGCCAAACCCCAAGATTAACCATGGCTGAATGTTGAACATACACTTTGCAAAATCTGGATATCTCTGATCTACTATTTATCAGTCGAAATCTAAAGCACCATAAATGCTTTAAACGTATAAATGTCGGCATTTCTCTGCCAACCTGGTGGAAATTTCTGAAAATCACAAAGTCTGACATCCTCCAAAACAAGAAAATGCTCAATTTTACTCAATGGAAGAACAAAAAAAGGCGTGAGTGCACAAGCCATCCCAGCCTTTTTTTTAACCAAGCATAGGATTTGTGGACTCTGAGTGACCGGGTGCACGCTGAATCCAGGACTAGTGTAAATCCACCCAATCAGTCAGCATCTTACACATTGTCACTCCTGATAAAGGCAGGTGACACTGCGGCTGGACTTGCACCCAGAGGCAATCGCAGTAAATAAAAGGAGATTTCCCACTGAATCTGGGGTTTTGACAGTAATAACCCCGCGAGCAGGGAGATGTATCATGTGATTGAGGGCTTTTGCTGTGGTCATCGAGCAGCGGCAGCCTCTCGTGGAGGCCTGTCTCGGGCCTCTTGCAGTGATTACCTCCGGACAGACCTCAGTGACAGATAGGTACCGTTTGAAGCCCGCCGAGTTATCGATCATTTCCATCCAGATGAGAAAAAAAATATTACAGGGGCACGGAGCCGGAGCAGTGAGCGGCACAGGCCGTCTCCACGGTAACGGGAGTCACGCCGGCGAAGCGGTACCAGGCCGGGGAGCTATTTTTGTGACCGGGTGTCCTATCTTTGAGGAAAAAGAGCGGACGGCCATTTGCTGCTGAAGCTGCTGCAAAGTGAAGGTGCCTTTGGTTCACCTGGAAAAGGCTTCTGGGCGCTGACCGGCCGCTCGGCCAGAGCACTCCGCAGGAAGCGCAGGATGGACGGGAGCCCCTGGTGAACCACTTCTTGCGGAGGGAATCGAATGGGGCAGTCCCTCAGGTTCAGCCCTCGGAGGGTAATCACATTTCCTGGACAGCAAAGGCAAATGATGATGGCTTGCAGCAGCCCACGCTCTGCAGTTGAACGGGCCGCTGTATCCTGATTAGTTTATAATAATGATAAAGGAGGCTTACACTTATCTATCTAAAGTCATTTGCATTAAAAAAAAAAAAGTTGCGCAGTTGCGACTTGATCAAGAAAGAATCACAAAAGAAGGAAAATGTGTTATTTCAAAGAATGAGATATGAGTCTAGTGATCGAGGGGACTGAGCTCAACTCACCCAGCTCTGGTGGAAGCTCGGAGATAGGATTCCCCTCCAGCAACAGGGTTTTCAAAGACCTACACCATCCCAGTCAGAGATTATGAGATGATAAGGAGAGAAGGCTGTGCCCTTATCAAGTCATTTTCCCAATCCTCATCCATTTAGATTAAAAAAAAATAGTCCTTAATAAAAATTTTTAAAAAAGCCCAACAATCCAAGGAACATAACCCCCACTGGTGGTGTCATAAATTAATTTACTTTGAAATTTAAATTGTTGGATAACTCCTAAGAATATAAAACAAAGATAAACTAATTGGGGGATTGCACGTGGGCCTGACCTGTGAGAGCCAATGGCAGCAGGGAGTGAAGTTACTATGTTGTTTCTCAGGTCAAGCCACTGCAGCTTGGGCAAACTCAGGAACACAGAATCTGGGATGATGGAGATCTGGTTTCCCTCCAGACTCAGATACTAAACAAAAGAAGAACACATGCACAATGGGGGGGTTGATTATAAAATGCAAGCTGCGTTTTGTAACTGTTTAAATAAATAAAAAAACTGACTGTTAATGAGCCATTTCCCAGGATTCTGTCCGGAACACGTTTGAGATTGGATCTCCTCAGACATGACGTCTCTGTGGAGAAGCCCTCTTCGGGCTCCCGTCTCTCAGGCGGTTTGGCAACAGTGTTCCCAAAGACGAAGCGTGGCTGCGCCTCAGCATCTTTCTCCACGGGAGTCATGGCAGAAGGGACGTCGACATCTTTTGGATTCATACCATCGACGGTCTTTTAGCGGTTCCTCTCCCCCTGGGTTCGGGGAAAATGACAGTTCGTCGTCCCGCCCGACTTGGCAGCAAGCGGAAGTCCTCCGAGGTTAAACTTTGGCTAACATTAGCTGAACAACCGCCCGCTCGCGGGTTTCGGAGCGCGAGCTGTTTAAAGTACGAAAGTCGGTGGAGACATTGTCATAGCTAACATTTGGCGAAGCCTAAGAAGTAACCATGGCAACGACTTCACGCAAACTACGGCAACCTTCAGCGGGCAAACAAGTTTTTGGACGCAAAGTTTCAACCCCACATCTGTTTAAAATAGTGCATTTAAATTTGAAATGTTTTATGTTCAAATAAAGACGTAGATAACATTGATAATTGTTTAAAGAAATAAAAAAAATATTTGGTTTTATTTATCCTTTTTTTCTACCCCCCAAAAATAAGAGCTGCTTACGGTATCTCACCATTAAACATTGCATATATTCCCAATTGACGATAAAAGTAGTGTTTTTTAGTATTTTTCGATTAACTCATTAGAACCTATGCCCATTTTCTTTAAATTATATGATAAGGAATGTAAGAAAATGACCAAATAGGCCCCATAGATCACGTAGAAGTAGTACCGAATGTAAAAGATTTGTAAAGTTATACATGTACGATTTTTTTTTCAGTTAATCTCAGTACACTTGTGTCACTCACGGCTCTCATGGGTTCAAATTAGTTTAGTTTAATAAGATGTTTCTATTTGATATGACTCAATATAGTGTCTAAATAGTAGATAATTTCCATTTGTCAGCCTTCGAGAATTGGGCTCCACCCATACATCTTCTTATCCACAGTGAAATAATTAAATTATGTTTATTTGGATGTGGTAACAGTTAACTAAGTGTTATTATCGAAGCAAAAAAGAACTAATTTCGTACTGAGGCATCCTCGCCTCACTTTCCCTCTCACATAGACATGTTTTGATGTGTTCATATGCACTACAGACTGTGAGCGGAGCCTCGTCGGCAGCAGTCACTGGCCAGCAGTAGTCACATTACTCTCTGACGTCAAGTTAGGCCGAATACTGTGATGTAACTTCCTGTTTGCGCTTTCATAACAAAATCCGCCTTTGCAAAGAAACACTGAATGGAGAGGAAACTTCAGTTTTTGCTTTACATCTGAACGGTTTGTGTGGCTGCCAGAAATATGAAAATGTAGATAACAAGAATATGCATGACAAAAAAAATCTAAATGAGATTCAGAAATGTGAGTGAGTCGAATAGCATTCAGGTCCAAGATGTATAGAATAAGCCATAATATGTCTGAAAAAAGAAAGAAAGTAAAACAACCAAAAACAAAACAAAGAGGTGCAGCAATATGTTTCCATTAGCCCTCTGGATGTTCCGACACAATGCCATGGAGTACTTCATTAGAATGTATCCCTAATTTAACTTTATTATTAGTTCAAAATTAAACAGTTCAGGGAACAAGCTGCTTAAAAGGAAGTTGTGTTTATAAACCAATCAGTCTTCAAGTCTGCATTCGAGGTATGGAGGAGATTCGTTTTATTTCTAAGCAGCACCGCCACACTTCCTGTTTTGTCACAGCTAGCTGCGGCTAGCTTGACGCGATACTCACTCTCAAGAGTCAGCCCCGGCTGTTGGTTCGGCTGCGGAAGACAACTGAGCACTGCCAACGCCGAGTGACTATTTCCACCCTCCAGCTCCAACTCCCAGAACTGTCTTCGTTCCGCACGCCACCCGTTTCGTCGGCGCGTGCCAAGCAGCACGGGGCGCCGCTCGGCCAAAGACTTTGACAGAAAAAGCGAAATAACGGACTCCCGTTTGGGGTTGAAATGTACGTGTGGCGCGACCGTCTCTTAAGGAGGGTGTCCAACGCGGAGCTGTAGTTTCTCTTCAAGAGGCGAGGAATGCTATCTGAGCATCAATGTTTCACTGGGGCAAGTGGAAGAAGAGGATGGGCGCCAATAGTTCTTCAAAGAGGCCAGTTTTCGACGAAAAGGAAGATGGTAAGTGATGGCGAGGAGGGGATGGGGACGAAAAGTAGAGCGCAGGTTTCACTCGACGCTTCCAAAAAAAGAAAAAAAAAGGGGCAAAAAAAAAAGCTGGACAGTTGTAGCTTAGAATTAGTCCTGCAAAGTCAATTAGTTTTACAGTCTAAGTCCGACCACAGTTTAAAATGTCCGAATTCCTGTTGGATGTTGCCTTTCAGGTTGTTGAACACTTTAAGGAGGAGAGAAGAAGAAAACTGTGTTTTGGAAATGCTGGAGGTGTGAAACCAAAACTTCCCACTCAAGCAGCTGTAGAGAGAACTGTAGCATCCAGGGGCCACTTAAAATATCAGCATTTTTATTTGTAGACACACCAGATAATACACTTTTTCACACACTTGGAGGGAAAGCGTTCCTCTCTGTACAGGGAGTTCTGGCGTTGCGTTCAGGTGTGCTGTGTAAAAAAAAAAAAAAAAAATCCTCAAAGTACCCTTTTTCAAAAGACCAACTATTTGCAATGGAGAAAAAAAAAGGAAATAAGACTGTTAATTGCATAATTAAACAGAGATTAGCCTCGTGCCTAAGAAGTCAGGTTCATTTCTGAAGCCTTGTCAGGGGTGTTTTGGGAATAAGCCTCTTGGCAGAGCAGCTGGGAAGCTCGGCAGAGAATCTCTGTGATGGACTCTAAAAATGTTGCTGCAGAGCTGTCATCGGAACGTTCCGGCCAAGTTGCAGGCAAAACTTGGGTAAATGAGGTCATCTCACTGCGGGGATGTGGTCATAAATGCCTGTGTGTGCGTCTATGTGTGTGCGTGTATCTGTGTGTGTGTGTGTGTGTGTGTGTGTGTGCGGCTTGAGTGCACCTTCTTCCAAGGATAACCCAATTAAGCCCACAGCATCTGGTGGGTCCAGCTCCGGCTCGGGCTACCGTAAAGGCGAGTGGCTACGGGATGAGTTGGGAGCGGCCCCCTTCAGCTTTGAGTGCCGTGCTCCACTCTCTGCAGCTGCTGATCAAAGACCTAAGCCCCCACGTCTAGCATGCATTAAGGCTTTAGGGGAGACGTCTGGGATTGAAGGAGGTAAGCTCAAGGCTAAGGGCAGAACCTCCCCAATCTTAGAGAAAGAGTGTGTCCTCCTTTTGTCTTCATGCCCTCCGTGTCTTCCGTTTAAGCAGGTGCCGCCTCTTTGTGACCCACTAACGAGCACCAGTGGCTGCCTTATTTATTTATTTATTTATTTATTTTCCCCCATAATCTCCACCATCACGCATATAGACCAGGGATGGACCTGCTGATGTAATTACACCATGCTGGCATCACGGGGATGTAATCCAGTGTGTCCGCCTGAGTGCTACAATAAGAGAGAGCAACAACAGTTAACTTGCGAACGCTTCAGCGCCGCCTTTTGTAAAACAGCTGCCTCTCTCTCTCTCTTTTTTTTTTTTCTCTTCTTCATTTTTCAACCTGCTCCCTGATCAGAGAGCTGCCGGGAGCCGATAGCGGTGCGGATACCGTCTTAAGTGTCTACGCGTCTTTTACTGCCCGTCGCGTCTCTTAGAAAACAGTAGTGGCCTCTCGGAGAAGCCGCACGTGGCCTACATTAGGCGGTGATATGAGAGTGCCGTTTGGCTCACAGGGCTGCAAACATAATCAAGCGGTCAGGTTGATGTCCAAGCATGGCTGCCAGAGGGGCTTTTTTGGCAGATACTGTGATTAGCAGAGGAAGGCTGTGGAATTGATTGAGGTGCACATCCTGCCGGCTTGCGTGTTGCTCCCTTTTCTCTGACACCGTTTCACAACAGCCCCATTGTGTGTGTGTGTGTGTGTGAGTGGTGGGGGGGGGATGCAGTTTTATGGATAAATAGTGATTAATTCTCATCTATCAGGCACTTAATCATTGGTTCCTTCCTCATTTGAGAGCTGTCCCTTTCTGGTGCCTTTTCTTCCCCCAATTAGAGAAGCTCTAATTCGGTCTGGACAAAGGGGTATATTGGACTTATTTGGGTTTAGAATAAAGGCCGTGACACCTGGAAAAACGTGGAATCGCTGATGGGTTTTGGAGGATGTTCATTCAGCCGTTTACTTTTGGAAAAATTACAGTTAGTTTGAGATCTGGCTCGGAGCAGGAGATGGCACATTAATGTTTTGTTTATACTGTGTCTAATGAAACGTATAGACATTTAAGAACATTTTGAAATTTAAATGTCAGCTTTTATTGATGATAAAGGTTTTCTGTCAGCTAAAGGACAATTACTCTCATTCCATCAGTGGAGAGGATTTCTCTCCAGGATGGTGAGCCATTTAACCACCGAGCCAGAAACAAAAAAAAAAAACACAGAAAGATGGAATGCTAACCACCTGATACAACAGGCTGTGTAGATTCTTTTCTGCTTTACAGCCAGATCTACTGACAAAGGACCACTTGACACACTCGGAGTCCTCATCTGCGCGAGCCAGTTGCTTTTTAAAAGAGGGCACTTGTTTGCGAATAGGCTCCAGTCTGAGGGTGTGAGAGCATGGAAATGAACAGTGTCAGCGCAAGACTGGGTGGACTCTTCTTTTGCTCCAAAGAATCTCCAAAGCCTTAAAAAAGAAAAAGAAGTGAGCTTTTGATTACGATGTCCATCTGTTGCCTCATGTTGTTTGATCGTTCTTGTAAAGCCAAAGGCGAATTTCCACTTCTGTGGGAAATACTTCTTTTTTTTTTTTATTCGTCCTTCGAGCAGGTGCGTACGTGACTGCTCTTCCCATCAGGGATAGACGTCCGACACCCCCAAAGATGGCTGATGACTGCCGTTGAATTCAGAGGCCACTTGCGTTCTTTCATCTTTCTCCCAGACTCTCAATTTCTCTTACTTTTTCCCCCCCAATTCAGATGAAGTAGGAACGTCCGCTTTTTGTCTTTGTGTGCCTTCAATCTGGCAAATTTTCAGCAAGACTCCAATAAAATAATTAAAACTGCTTAGCTTTTTGATTGTTAAATCCTCCTAACTTTGATGTAGGATTTAACTTAAACTTACAAAAAAGAAAAGCTTCTGAACTGCAGATCCCAGAAAAGCAACTTAGCAAGTAAACAAAAACTTGCAAACAATTGCTTATTTTCTGTCTTTTGGAATTTGTATTATTTATTCATACTTATTTGTGGCATGTAAGAAAACCTTCAACCACAACAAAGGTTGAGAGACCTAAAAAACAATGAACAATGTTACCCCCAAGAGGCTATGAGCTGAAAAGTGGTCCATTTGAGCACTGAGTAAAGTATTTATCTAAAAGAAAACGTAGGAAACTGAAAAAGTGGAGGGTAAAAGGGAAGCTGTAG